GCACTCACATAGATTGTGTCCTGCATGTATATCTTTGTAACCGCCTCAAATTTTTAGAAATTAGCGAATCCGAATACCCAAAATATCATAGATCCCGGAACATAATTCATGAATCCGCCAGCAGCCAACTTACGTCAAGTCTGCGCTCTCAGCTATAACTGAAACCAAAAACCAAACTTTAAGGAGGGGAAAATATTTCTCATATAAATCTGAAATTAAGTCAATCTCAATACTCTATCAGATTAAAAAGACTCATCAGAATGATCGACAGTAATTATGAGTATAAACTTGAAAACATCAGCCGTGAACTCAGAAGAATCCACTAACCTTTCAGTGTAGTAACGTAGTGCGTGTGACAAATTGTTGCAAGCAGACGCAATGCCCGAGGTGGCTCGCCGTAGTCTTGCTTGTCCTCTCTTGTTAACAGGGCTCTCTATTCAGCTCAGTTGGCGCAGCGAATATAAAATGACTTCTTGTTGCTGATTGCTAAACTCACTGAAGATTCTTTATCTTATAGTTTCTAAGATCAGCTCAGTCATGCATGCAGTTCGGCCGTATGTGACTCTTTGCCCAATCGCGAGACGTATTTTAGGAAAAGCGGTTTCCCCTTTGCTTGCACCTGCACCTGTACCTATCCGTAGTCAAGGTGACCGTTATGATAAAACCGATCCTTACTCCTACGCAGAAAGCTATCGACCATATAAAACATAAAGAAGCTGTATTATGTTTGTTATATGCATGGAGTGAGTATTATAGACAATAAACTAGACTGGTAAACCTAAACAACACTGATTGTGCAGCACTGATACTTTGTCGTTATATTTCGTTATTCTTGGTTCAAATCATAGTTAAGTCTGAGTACTGTAGTGTGTGTTACTACGTTTGAAATAAGTAAGCAAAGTATAATTCAGACCAACTTTTCTTATATCGGTTCTTATAAGTGACTCAGGGAATGAAGATCTGAGTACATGTTTAGAATGGGTTAATTGATGACTAGAGGTCCGTAATCAAACACTGGCAGTTTTCTATGAAACACTGGTAGGTTAGGCAGAAGAGAAATTGCAAGATTAAAGGCGCAGCACGTCAAGAAAATATTGTTGATTATTACTGTACGAATTATTTGTTCAAATCATCACACAAGGTTGCCCAGTCTTACATACTTTTTATGTTAAGAAAAAAAAAAACTTTTGTTAGTTATTTACTTGCTTATGTTTATTTAGTCGTTTATCTATTTGTCTATTCATGTACATGTAGAAAAAAGAATTTGCATCCACGTAGGGTTTGAGCAAAAGCAAAAAATTAGCTTGACCACCTGCTACTTACAACGTCAAATCTCGTAGCCATAGAAGCTGACCATCATGATCACATTTTATCGTATAGCAAAAAACTCAAACACCCATCAGAAAAGGGGTTGGCAACCACCACGGTCCCCCTAGTACGTTCAAGGGTTAAGCTTAAAAAGAACGTGTGCTGGTTTCAATATGTGTATCACACTGAGAAAGATGCTGTAAAGCGAGTTGCAAAAAAGTTGCAACATAATTTAAAATTCTTATGATAGTATTGATCATACCTTGGATTGGTTTATCGTCTTTTTTATCATCTTCTTTAATTTTCCTTTGATATTTTTCTAAATAATCCGGCATTTTGCTTTCGACACGAGGACAAGGATTCAACTGCACATAGGCATGCCATGTCATCGCTCCCATGAGCCTCGTTGAACCTAGCCTCTTCCAGGCTCCGAGATAGTCGGGCCCGCGTTGCCTAGTCCCTAGGCCTCATTATTCCGCGCGGCCAAAGCGTTTCGGGTCATCAAAGTGGATTGACCAACAGGGTGTGGGTTTTCCTGTCCCACCTCCAAAGCCAAGGAAAAGCACCCTGGGGACGAGGTTGTGGAAAACTCTGTATACGGACAAGGCAAGAGTCCGCGGGAATTGAGAAAGCGCGAACACGAATCCAAAATAAAGCGGGGTTCAAAACGGGAGGAAACTGGTGAGAAACTGGAACAGGTTACTTTGAACCCAAATGCAGCTTATAGTGCCAGGTTCTTTTTAGGAGCTCGAGATGGGGTTGAGATAGGGATTGGGATGAGGATAGACGCCTCAATAAAGATATCGGTTGGGGCTGGGCGTACAGAAAAAAAAAAAACAATTCTCGCCTATCATACGTGTCCGTGGGAGTGGCGAGTGAGCTGAGAAAGATGGGCAAGAGCGAAAAAGGAAATAGGTGGCACAGGGAGACTAGGTTAGGGCCCTTTAGTCCTTTTAATTTCCTTTTTTCACTCGCGTCAGTTGAAACAGTGCGGGAGCGCCTTCTACAGTAGGTTGAAAAATAGTCCCCTTAATGGGTTAACAGAATGTATCCCTCTTATAGGTCAGTTCCTTCCCCACCTCCCCAACCCAAACTCTACCCCCAAATAAATTAGTCGTCAGTTAACGAAAACAGACAAATTCTGTAAAAAATACGGCTGTTCCCTTTAATTTTGCTATGAATTTTTTACAAACTGAGATTGTTTTTTACTAGTTTTACCCTGCAAATATAGCAGCCTCTCAATGCTCCTTGCTCGTCTCTGTGGCGTCGATCGCGAAACGCGCGTCCTCAGCGACGAAAAGCGCTGAGAACCGGAAAGAGCGTTGAATTCTTGGGTTATGTATATTTACAGGTCAAATTTGATTTCAGGTTAAATTTTTGTTAACCTAGGTTGATTCTCAATTTCTTTTGTCTCCTAGCCCTGCTTATTCATGAATTAGGGCGCTCGGAAACAAAGGAAATTGAGTATCAACCTAGGTTAAATCAAAATTAAGAAATCAAATTTGACCTGTAACGTATATATCCACTGTGATTGGTTTAGAACACTATAATATTTCCAACTACTAGGTAGTTTCTTAATACTAAAACTGTAAAAAATAGAAAATATTCATTAATATACCATTTATATCGAACTTTGAAAAGAGGGAAGGTTTCGGCGTTGAATATTGCATATTTCTTCTAGAAACCGTTTTAATATTGGCACATTCTGCTCCCAAAATGAAGGGGGCAATATTCCTTAACTTTAGCTTGACCTTCACTTTGTGAAGGAACGGAATGGCTAGACAGCTTTGAATGAATTGTCTCTTGAGCAAGACGAGTGGGAAACCATTCTCTCTCAAGACACAGAGCCAAGAACACCATCATCACGTGACGTTATAATGCAGGAATTCGGCCGCAACGTAAACAGATGAATCTGGAAAGGAAAAGGAAATACTAGCTGTAAGTTACAAAATAATTGGTCTCTACTCAGAATTTACATGTGAACGATCCCAAACCGATCTCTGGCCCCAGCTGTTCGGCAAAAGCTGGATAGCGCTATTAACCGGCCACGGCAACCGGTCGAAACCGGATAAATCACTATTCAGAGGATGGTTAGGAAAACCAACTGCACGGTCCAGTGGATAGAGGTTTATCCAGTAAATAGCATTATCTTCCATTTGAACAACAGGAGCCTGGTTTCTGGTCTCGATCAGGGGCGGAAAAAACCTACATTGCGTCTGCGTCTGCGTCTGCGTCTACGTACAAGCATCTGCGGCAAAATGGACGCTCTATTTTCCCATCTCCTCCTGCACTCAGAGTTAAAAGAGCTGGACTGAATATCCCGATAAGTATACAGAGGGAATGTCACCACTAAACCTTTATAAACTAAAAAATTTGCATGTGTGTTTGACGAGCCTTGCAAACAAGATATGAGTTCTTAGAAGAGTCGCATCTCACTATCTAGGAGAAATTAATGACTAAAATGGTAACATTTTATTTCTTGGATTTAGATTAGTTGATCGGTAAAGAAACTCTTCTTTTCCTCACTTATAGAAAATATGATCCGTCTTCAAAATTTATTCGAGAACATCTCAGCAGCAAACTAAACGCGCCCTAGACGAAGCAGGTAGAACAAACCTCATGAGAAAAATTGTCTACAATATAACGATTAAGTTTTTTTACTTACGTTGAACGCCCTGGTCCTGTGAGTTCTGTGAGTTGTTGATTGCGCCTGTTATTCTAAACAAAGAACAAAAAGAACGTACCTTTAAGTTTCCTCCGACAAAATTCAAGGCCACGAAAAATTGGCCTTTACAACTACTTCATTCTGTCCAAAGCAGAAATTCATCATTTATTTCCTCCCAAAGCCTAACAAGGATCTATAGCGTTTTCGAGTAAAAGTTCTTACGACACGACCTTCATCGCCGCCCCACATAAGAGAATCCAGATTTTGGAATCCGGGAAAATCATTCTTTGCTTGTGAAGTCTAGAATCCTGGGCTTTGATCCGAAATACAGTTCAAGGAATTTGGAATCCTATTTACGATCGGAATCAAGAATCCAAGTTCCATTGACAAAACCAGGAATCTGCACTGTTTCAAACTTCATCGATCTTATTCAATTTCATTTAGTTTGTCAAATGCTGGCGAGAATTTGTGGACTGAATCCGAAAGGACCGTATCTGAGTTTAGAAAAAGAAAAAGAAACTTTGACGGGCGATCTACAAAGAGAATATTCCTTAAGGGAAGAGTTCCACAGGCTTTTGTTTCTGCAGCTCCCTCACAGGCTAACTACCTTATAGAATATTGTATTTACTAATAGATAATCATAGGGCGTAGATTTAGGGCCAATAACTCCACATACTACTTTCGTGTTCGCTCCAAATCGACTTCCAAGCTTGTTTGTCAGACCACGTGCACCTGAAATGACCGGTCCCCTTCCCACAAAACTCGGCCCCGTTGAAGGGAGAATGGGACACGCAAATCCCTTATGGGAGTTCCGTCCTACATAGGTGGAAGGTAATTCTTAATTGGGCGTTGCCCTCACTGGCAGCAGCTCAGCCCAATAACAAGACTGGTGTTAGTAAATCAACTTGCTCGCTAATTATATACAGTTTCTTTTCTGTTCGGGATGATTGAGACCTAATTCCATGGCCACAGCACGACACAGCTCTACGGAGGCAGCTTCGAAGATCTGTTGCCCTTGATTCAACTACTAATTTATTCTAACTCTACTGACCTCTGTTGGATTAGGAGCCGTATTGAAGTTAGGAGACAGATCCCTCCGGAGTGCAAGGTCAGTTGTATGCCTTGCTACGAAATCAGCTCTGAGACCATCATCAGAATTTCCCAGATGAGATGACAAACTCTGACCTTGAAGCCTTCTGTAGAAGTCGTAATTTGCATGTCTTTCTTGTGGAGGACTTGAAAGGCGTTCCCTGCTTAATCTTAAAAGGTAAAAGCAACGGAAAAGAATCAGTTCCTCACAACATCTAGGACAAGGCAATGATAAAAGCAACTTGATTTTGACGGGAAGAGCTTAGGGGTTAAACGCTATCCTTCGGTAGCCTGCGATGATACCAGAAATGACTGTCCGTTAATCCCATCCCACCCCTCCCCTAAATAATAAAACCTGCCTGTTTTGTAACAGAGACGAAATCTCTTCTTCCACCCGTGCCCATTATAAGAATCAGTAGCCACAGTAGGAATGTTGTTACCCAACGATTTTGAAAATTCAATCAATATCGAAACAACTTGTGAGAACAAATTACTGATAGCGGACAGCTAAGTACAAAACCAAACACGTACATCCATCATGGTCTCTGATGTATGTTGATATCAGGGGGGCGGATATCATAAGGGACTTTTAGCATCGACGACGGCGACGGCAGCAAAAACGTCACTTGTAAAATGAATTGGCGTTTTTTTTCAAACTTTGTCGCGTTTATTTTATAATTTAGTTCGCTGAGAATATCTAATGTAGGCAACTTTCCCTGGAGTTGATTTCTTGGGGGCCAAACTGAAGTTTACAAAGGGGAAGAAAGTTTCGTCGTCGCTTGTTTACGTCCTCCATAAAACGTGAAATTAGGTATTTTCACGTCGTAGTCGTGTGGTAACGGCAAAGAAATGTACAAAAAAGCGTGATGCACGTGCAAACTTATCAGTTGTTTTGCTCAATAAACTTATTGTTTTTTTTGGCGTTATAGTTGCCGTCGCCGTCGCCGTTGCTAAAACTCCCTAATTATTCAAGGACGGATCTAGGGATTTTTAGTAAGGGAGGATTTGACCTTAACACACCCTGCTTCAGCCACCCCGTAACTGGTTTCTGTTTAAATAAAATTGAAAATCAGACTTTATTTTATGTTAAGACAAGGAGAGAAAAAGTGTTTTTGAAAAAGACTGACGGGACAGTCTCAAAGCAAAGCAAGCATAATATATACGAACAAAGACTGCACTCAAGTTTGATTGACTGATCAAAGCCGTGTAAGAAGACGTACGGTGGACCAATCAAGCGTTCTAAAAGGAAAATGAAAAATCTCTCTTAGCTTACGTTGCCAAGAGCCGTTCTGAAGTTGTACGATCCTGTAAAGAATCAATCGCTTGCTGTTCCGTTACTTGTGGGGTAGAATACTGAGACTGCAAAACAGTAATAACAACAATCAGCTTTCCTTGAAGGAAACAGGCAAGGTCGATGATTTCATTCAGAGCGGAATGGCTCAAAACTTTGGTTCGGAGTTTGAGAAGAGGGGCGGTGGACCACCAGCCCTTAATTATCTATTTATGACTTTTTTACCTTTTGGCTTTCTAATTACAAGTTTTTTTCTTATTCGAGTGGCCCAAGAATCAATGTCTTACAAGCGTAGAGACAAGATATTGCGGACGAAATCGTTGCAAAGTTTACCCTGTTTACGAGAAGCAAGGGAGAGCTGCGGACATTTACTCTGAGGGGGGTTTCCATTTGTCAGAACTCGCCGACTCCATGTTTCACCCTAGTATTAAGTTATATAACAGACTATGAGAAACACTGTGTGGATTACAAACAAACTAAACAACCCGGCTAAATCTTATGACATACAGAAACCGTAAATCTTTCATCAAGTCTAGTTTTGTGAGCCTAGGAAAAAATAATAACCTGGTAATTCCCTGGTAAGGCAGTGTGGACAGAAGCTCCAGCTTCTCTGCACCTAGATGATAATTCTCGTAACAGAGATTCGTCTCTCGTATGTCTCATCACAAAGATGTCTGAGAGACCTAGAGGCTCTTCTGATTGCTGAATAGATAAATGACATAAATGGTAATTCCCATTTAGTGTGTCTGTTTCCACGAAGGTCCGTTGCGCTGTATTCACTGACATGTTACCGCTTGCTTTTCAGTAGAGTCGCTGCCCTTTCCAAGGACGAATCAGAGATCTGTGCAAAATAAAATACTCATTAAGGTGGCTTGCGACCGGCAGACGAACTTTGAAGTCAAAAAGTGAAAATAGAAGGTCTGTGAGCAGGCTATGGCTACCCATGAGGGCGTTATAAAAGCAATTGTAGGTTTTTTCTTTCTTTCTTTTTTTTTTTTTTCGGTAAAACCGCTTACAGGATAATAATAAAAAATAATAATAATAACGATTTATTGACAGTAATTCTACATGGTAGCTCTACATCCCTCATAATAACTAAAAACTAACAACTTACATAATGTTTCTCCAAGAGACGTTCCATAGCGATGTCACATTTTGGAAAGATAGTAGAAAGTAATTGTAGAAAGTTAACTTACCAGTAGGTAATCTTATTCCCTGGAGTTTCTTCGTTCGAGGTACCCTGCTAGTTGGACTTGTCGTTAAAAAACCTGGATCAAATATAAAGAAAGAAAAGGAATTCGAAAGGAATAAAGCAAATCATCTTTAGCTCGTAAAACTTAAAGTTCATTCCAGTGAAGTATTGCTCATTGCCAGGGGCATTGTTTATTTTGATTTTATGGCAAGAATATTATGGCATCTCATTTAGAATCACGTTTACAAGAAACGGCAAACGTCAGATTTAATTTGACAGTGTAAAGTCAAGAGTACTCTGGATAGCCTAAAAAGAAAACACGTGAAAACTATAGACAATATTAAAGCATAGTATATGTGAAAGTTTTGCAGTGGGCATTTGAAATGCAGAGTAACCGAACCATGACAGCTTATTTGCAGACTGGAACTGTTAGCCAGACGTTATAAAATTGTCAGTAAATGATCTCTTTAGTTTGTCTCTTCCAGGGTGGCAGCTAGAAACAATGAAAAGGTTGCTCAAGAAAGCGTAAAGATCTTCACAACACTATTAATATTATTCCAATGTAATTGTTATTTACATTTTGAAAACGACCACACTTTATGCTAATATTATTAATTCCATTTTTCTCTCCTCCTACACAGGGAAACTTATACCTTTCATCCTCCGAGAAATACATATAACAAAGCCCTGGGCTTTTTTAGACCTAGGCCAAACGTCAAACTTTTAATTTATGAGACTGAGGAACCAAACTCTAATTTGGGTCGGCCTAAATTAAGTTAAGATCGTCTGTTGGGTCAGACGTCAATCTTAGGACGCAGCGAACCAATCAACTGAATCAGATCTGTAATGCATTTTCTCCTGAAAGTATCATACAAGTTTTTAATTTCTTAGTTTGACTCAGTTAAGTACAAAGTTTCTTGACAGGCGCGGTTTCTTGACAGGCGCGGTGACTCGAACTCAAGTCAGCGGGTTCGAGTTATCGGGCCGGTCGATTATGCATTATCATTCTCACTGATGATCCGGTTTGACTCATAAGACCCTAATATGTTGCAAAAACCATAATTCGAGTTATTTACAAAATAATTGGTCTCTACTCAGAATTTACATGTGAACGATCCCAAACCGATCTCTGGCCCCAGCTGTTCGGCAAAAGCTGGATAGCGCTATTAACCGGCCACGGCAACCGGTCGAAACCGGATAAATCACTATTCAGAGGATGGTTAGGAAAACCAACTGCACGGTCCAGTGGATAGAGGTTTATCCAGTAAATAGCATTATCTTCCATTTGAACAACAGGAGCCTGGTTTCTGGTCTCGATCAGGGGCGGAAAAAACCTACATTGCGTCTGCGTCTGCGTCTGCGTCTACGTACAAGCATCTGCGGCAAAATGGACGCTCTATTTTCCCATCTCCTCCTGCACTCAGAGTTAAAAGAGCTGGACTGAATATCCCGATAAGTATACAGAGGGAATGTCACCACTAAACCTTTATAAACTAAAAAATTTGCATGTGTGTTTGACGAGCCTTGCAAACAAGATATGAGTTCTTAGAAGAGTCGCATCTCACTATCTAGGAGAAATTAATGACTAAAATGGTAACATTTTATTTCTTGGATTTAGATTAGTTGATCGGTAAAGAAACTCTTCTTTTCCTCACTTATAGAAAATATGATCCGTCTTCAAAATTTATTCGAGAACATCTCAGCAGCAAACTAAACGCGCCCTAGACGAAGCAGGTAGAACAAACCTCATGAGAAAAATTGTCTACAATATAACGATTAAGTTTTTTTACTTACGTTGAACGCCCTGGTCCTGTGAGTTCTGTGAGTTGTTGATTGCGCCTGTTATTCTAAACAAAGAACAAAAAGAACGTACCTTTAAGTTTCCTCCGACAAAATTCAAGGCCACGAAAAATTGGCCTTTACAACTACTTCATTCTGTCCAAAGCAGAAATTCATCATTTATTTCCTCCCAAAGCCTAACAAGGATCTATAGCGTTTTCGAGTAAAAGTTCTTACGACACGACCTTCATCGCCGCCCCACATAAGAGAATCCAGATTTTGGAATCCGGGAAAATCATTCTTTGCTTGTGAAGTCTAGAATCCTGGGCTTTGATCCGAAATACAGTTCAAGGAATTTGGAATCCTATTTACGATCGGAATCAAGAATCCAAGTTCCATTGACAAAACCAGGAATCTGCACTGTTTCAAACTTCATCGATCTTATTCAATTTCATTTAGTTTGTCAAATGCTGGCGAGAATTTGTGGACTGAATCCGAAAGGACCGTATCTGAGTTTAGAAAAAGAAAAAGAAACTTTGACGGGCGATCTACAAAGAAGAATATTCCTTAAGGGAAGAGTTCCACAGGCTTTTGTTTCTGCAGCTCCCTCACAGGCTAACTACCTTATAGAATATTGTATTTACTAATAGATAATCATAGGGCGTAGATTTAGGGCCAATAACTCCACATACTACTTTCGTGTTCGCTCCAAATCGACTTCCAAGCTTGTTTGTCAGACCACGTGCACCTGAAATGACCGGTCCCCTTCCCACAAAACTCGGCCCCGTTGAAGGGAGAATGGGACACGCAAATCCCTTATGGGAGTTCCGTCCTACATAGGTGGAAGGTAATTCTTAATTGGGCGTTGCCCTCACTGGCAGCAGCTCAGCCCAATAACAAGACTGGTGTTAGTAAATCAACTTGCTCGCTAATTATATACAGTTTCTTTTCTGTTCGGGATGATTGAGACCTAATTCCATGGCCACAGCACTACACAGCTCTACGGAGGCAGCTTCGAAGATCTGTTGCCCTTGATTCAACTACTAATTTATTCTAACTCTACTGACCTCTGTTGGATTAGGAGCCGTATTGAAGTTAGGAGACAGATCCCTCCGGAGTGCAAGGTCAGTTGTATGCCTTGCTACGAAATCAGCTCTGAGACCATCATCAGAATTTCCCAGATGAGATGACAAACTCTGACCTTGAAGCCTTCTGTAGAAGTCGTAATTTGCATGTCTTTCTTGTGGAGGACTTGAAAGGCGTTCCCTGCTTAATCTTAAAAGGTAAAAGCAACGGAAAAGAATCAGTTCCTCACAACATCTAGGACAAGGCAATGATAAAAGCAACTTGATTTTGACGGGAAGAGCTTAGGGGTTAAACGCTATCCTTCGGTAGCCTGCGATGATACCAGAAATGACTGTCCGTTAATCCCATCCCACCCCTCCCCTAAATAATAAAACCTGCCTGTTTTGTAACAGAGACGAAATCTCTTCTTCCACCCGTGCCCATTATAAGAATCAGTAGCCACAGTAGGAATGTTGTTACCCAACGATTTTGAAAATTCAATCAATATCGAAACAACTTGTGAGAACAAATTACTGATAGCGGACAGCTAAGTACAAAACCAAACACGTACATCCATCATGGTCTCTGATGTATGTTGATATCAGGGGGGCGGATATCATAAGGGACTTTTAGCATCGACGACGGCGACGGCAGCAAAAACGTCACTTGTAAAATGAATTGGCGTTTTTTTTCAAACTTTGTCGCGTTTATTTTATAATTTAGTTCGCTGAGAATATCTAATGTAGGCAACTTTCCCTGGAGTTGATTTCTTGGGGGCCAAACTGAAGTTTACAAAGGGGAAGAAAGTTTCGTCGTCGCTTGTTTACGTCCTCCATAAAACGTGAAATTAGGTATTTTCACGTCGTAGTCGTGTGGTAACGGCAAAGAAATGTACAAAAAAGCGTGATGCACGTGCAAACTTATCAGTTGTTTTGCTCAATAAACTTATTGTTTTTTTTGGCGTTATAGTTGCCGTCGCCGTCGCCGTTGCTAAAACTCCCTAATTATTCAAGGACGGATCTAGGGATTTTTAGTAAGGGAGGATTTGACCTTAACACACCCTGCTTCAGCTACCCCGTAACTGGTTTCTGTTTAAATAAAATTGAAAATCAGACTTTATTTTATGTTAAGACAAGGAGAGAAAAAGTGTTTTTGAAAAAGACTGACGGGACAGTCTCAAAGCAAAGCAAGCATAATATATACGAACAAAGACTGCACTCAAGTTTGATTGACTGATCAAAGCCGTGTAAGAAGACGTACGGTGGACCAATCAAGCGTTCTAAAAGGAAAATGAAAAATCTCTCTTAGCTTACGTTGCCAAGAGCCGTTCTGAAGTTGTACGATCCTGTAAAGAATCAATCGCTTGCTGTTCCGTTACTTGTGGGGTAGAATACTGAGACTGCAAAACAGTAATAACAACAATCAGCTTTCCTTGAAGGAAACAGGCAAGGTCGATGATTTCATTCAGAGCGGAATGGCTCAAAACTTTGGTTCGGAGTTTGAGAAGAGGGGCGGTGGACCACAGCCCTTAATTATCTATTTATGACTTTTTTACCTTTTGGCTTTCTAATTACAAGTTTTTTTCTTATTCGAGTGGCCCAAGAATCAATGTCTTACAAGCGTTGAGACAAGATATTGCGGACGAAATCGTTGCAAAGTTTACCCTGTTTACGAGAAGCAAGGGAGAGCTGCGGGCATTTACTCTGAGGGTTTCAATTTGTCAGAACTGCCGACTCCAGGTTTCACCCTAGTATTAAGTTATATAACAGACTATGAGAAACACTGTGTGGATTACAAACAAACTAAACAATCCGACTAAATCTTATGACATACAGAAACCGTAAATCTTTCATCAAGTCTAGTTTTGTGAGGCTAGGAAAAAATAATAACCTGGTAATTCCTTGGTAAGGCAGTGTGAACAGAAGCTCCTTCTCTGCACCTAGAAGATAATTCTCGTAACAGAGATTCGTCTCTCGTATGTCTCATCACAAAGATGTCTGAGAGTCCTAGAGGCTCTTCTGATTGCTGAATAGATAAATGGTAATTCCCATTTAGTGTGTCTGTTTCCACGAAGGTCCGTTCCGCTGTATTCACTGACATGTTACCGTTTGCTTTTCAGTAGAGTTGCTGCCCTTTCCAAGGAGGAATCAGAGATCTGTGCAAAATGAAATACTCATTAAGGTGGCTCGCGACCCAGACGGACTTTGAAGTGATAATAGATGGTCTGTGAGCAGGCTATGGCTACCCATGAGGGAGTTATAAAAGCAATTGTAAGTTCTTTTTTTTGGTTCAACAGCTTACAGGATAATAATAAATAATAATAATAATAATAATAACGATTTATTGACAGTATTTCTACATGGTAGCTCTACTTATTATATACATACTGAGAAATACTCACCAAAAAGTTGTGTTGTAAATTTTGATCCGTCATGCTAACTAAAAACTAACGACTTACATAATGTTTCTCAAAAAGACGCACAATAGCGATGTCTCATTTTGGAAAGATAGTAGAAAGTAATTGTAGAAAGTAAACTTACCAGTGGGTAATCTTATTCCCTGGAGTTTCTTCGTTCAAGGTACCCTGCTAGTTGGACTGTTAAAAAACCTGGATCGGATATAAAGAAAGAAAAGGAATTCGAAAGGAATAAAGAGAATCATTATCAGCTCGTAGAACTTTAAAATCCATTGTAATTCCCCTGAGGCATTGCGCATTGTTTATTTTGACTTTATCGCATGAATATTGATATTATGGCAACTCATTTAGGATCACGTTTACAAGAAACGGCAAACGTCAAATTCAATTTGACAGTTTAAAGTCAAGAGTACTCTGGATAGCCTAAAAAGATTTTTCAATGCACTTAAGAGGAAACTGTCGAGTTGGCTGCCCCTGTACTGTGTCCAAAATCCGTGAAGGGAGGGGGGTCTGTACACAAACTACATCCGCGTGAAGCGTCTTAATGCTAGCTTGTCAATACTCACAGTTAAAAAGTCGTAAAGTTTTAGAGAAAATGAAAGAAACACATGAAAACTATAGACAACATTAAAGCATATATATGTGAAAGTTTTGCAGTGGGCATTTGAAATGCAAATAACCGAACTATGACAGCTTATTTACAAACTGGAACTGTTAGCCAGACATTATAAAATCGTCAGTAAATGATCTCTTTAGTTTGTCTCTTCCAGGGTGGCAGCTAAAAAAAACAATAAAAGTTGCTCAAGAAAGCGTAAAGATCTTCATAACAATTTTGAATATATTATTCCAATGTTATTTACATTTTGAAAACGACCACACTTTTTGCTAATATTATTATTCCATTTTTTTCTCCTCTTACACAGGGAATCTTATACCTTTCATCCTTCGAGAAATACATACAACAAAGCCCTCGGCCTTTTTGAGACCTAGGCCAAACGTTGAACTTTTACTAATTTCATGAGACTGAGGAACCAAACTCTAATTTGGGTGGACCTAAATTAAGTTAAGATCGTTTGTCGGGTCAGACGTCGAACTTAGGACGTGGCGAACCAATGGCTGAATCAGATCTGTAATACATTTTCTCCTGAACGTATCATACAAGTTTTTAATTTATTAGTTTGACTTAAGTTTGCCGCATGTGAAAATGGACGTTTTTCCCGGAGACCATCTTCTCGTAGACGTTCTATCCTTCTGAAACAGACGGATAGCACATGTTGGACGACTCATTGGCCGCTTTTATACTGAGCACGCATTGTCCGTCTGGACGAATTTTGTCGTTCGTCTACTTATACGGGCCTCTTGTCTAAAGACGGGCACATGACGCATTATACGTCCAGACGAACTACCTTTCGTAGTGCGTCGTTCAAGACGTAGGAAGGTTCGTCCGGACCCATAATGAGTCTTGTACCCGTCTTTATACTTGAGACGCGTGCATAACCAGACGAACTACAAATGTTTCCCTATTAGGTTCGTCCAGACGGATAAAAAACTGCGTTCTTAGTATAAAAGCGGCCATTTAGGCGAACTTAACCGAGTCAGACGTCGAACTTTTAACGACTTTAACTCACTAAATTTGGTTCGTCTCATGAAAAGTTTGACGTTTGGCCTAACCCTTAAGAGTTTTAGTAATGCTTATAAAGGAGAGCCTTATTTCCGAGGGGGATTAAAAAAACGGAGTAGACAAAGCGCTTCGAAATTAAACAAGCTATATCAGTGCTGATCAAAATTTAACGTTTTGCATTTACTGGTTTGTTAGTTACGCATCAAAACGTTGTAATAAATCGAATATATTTCAATGCATTTTAAAGAGGGCTTACTTGTATATCCGGGGGAGTTTATGATCGATCGGATCAGTAGCCATACCCGTGGTGTATCCCGATTACCCTGGTCGGATATATTTTTTGGTTCACAGGTGAATGGGCTTTAGCTTGGGTGAAGGGGAGGGGGAGAGCTTACAAGCGGCGGGGAAGCTCATTTAAGTGGCCGTTTACGATAGGCTCCTGATTCCTTATAGTGCTTATTGAGGCCATTCATGTATAGTAGAACCTCGGTGACTCGAACTCAAGTTAGCGGGTTCGAGTTATCGGGCCAGTTGATTATGCATTCTGATGAACGGGTAGGTCCCATAATTCGAGTATAGCGTTTAATTTTCATCAAGGAAAACGAATTTAGTTCCAGTCGCGGCGAGGAATTCGAGTACTGGTCCGAGTTCAAGTTAACGGAGCCAAGGGCGTTTCCAGCTTTTCCACTATCGTAAATGATCGATTAAGCGCCGCTACTTGAAAAAGTTCCGTACCTTTGCCGAAAATAATTTAATAAGCGCCGCCCTTGAATAAGCGCCGTGGCGCTCATTTGGGCATTTGCATCCTTAGTACGCACCTCACTTTATTCTCTCTATATTCCCCTCAGTGTTTTACCCGTAGTTTAAATAAGCGCCCCCTTCGTGTAAGCGCCGCACCTGTAACAGGGAAAATAAAATAAACGCCGCGGAACTTAATCAGTCATTTGCGGTAGTTGTAGGCTTGGCTAACTTTCATTTCCATATATCTTGACAATTACACGCATGACTAGTACACACTGACCTCAACAACACTTTAAGCCCTTAAGCTTTTTTAGTTCACCCCATCAATTTATTACCAGCGATGTAGAGCAATCAAACCAAAAATTTTTTATCCGGGGCCTACAGGTCTATGGACTGGCTACGCCCCTGCGAGTAAACTGAGGAAAATTATAAATGGGACTTAATACAGTTCGAGTTAGTTACCGACGTTCTAATCATCAGTAATTTCAAATATGAAATTAGTGGGTCTCCAATTAGTCTCCGTAATCCCGACCTACAAACAAATGGATCCCGTAATCTCGAGGGTTATTTTTGGCATCCCATCTCCCGGGCATACTTTCAATCCCGAACCTCGCGCCGATTTTGCTTTTAAAATCCCGAGTCCTCAGCTTCAAATAAGGAAAATCCCGGATCCCGAAAAGCCTACCGGGGTTTATCAAATTTTAAAAACGCCAAACATAATTCGCTACCTAGCACTCACATAGATTGTGTCCCGCATATATATCTTTGTAACGGCCTTAATATTTTAGAAATTAAATTAGCGAATCCGAATACTCAAAATATCATAGATCCAGGTACATTATTCATGAAACCGCCAAAATCTTTGCTTTCTCTTTCAAGTCTAAAAGCCCAACACAAAATGTAACTTATGATAAACCTAACTTTCAGGAAAGGAAAATATTTGTCAAAGATAATGAATCTGAAGTTAAGTAAATCTGAATATCTATCGGATAGAAAAAGACTCACAAGATTGATCGACAGAGATTATTAGCATAAACTTCCCCTTGAAAAAAAAACAGCCTTGAAAACGTTCAGAAGAGCACACTAGCACTTACTTGTGCCGCGTTTGACAGTTTGTTGCAAGCAGACGGCATGCGCAATCCTCGTGGTGGCTTGCCGTTGTCTTGTTTGTCGCTCTGCTTTTTAATGTAAAGGGCTCTATTTAGCTTAGTTAACACGCCGGGCAAACGACAGGGAGCGAAATACGGCCTGGAACAATGTCGTCTGTTTTCATGGGCGCGTGCGGTCTCGTCGACTGGGAGACTGGACATGAGTGAAATTCTCCCAGAGGTACCCCCACTTTGTCGGCGTTTTGCTTCTCCCATGATGCAAATGGGGTCGAAGAACAGCCATGATCAGATTCTTCGTGAATCAAGCTTTTTGGTATCAAATTAAAATTTGATACCAAACATGGCCAATATTATGACTTTAAAAGTTGTCCTTCTAGAGTAGAGTCCTACAGCTGTTCGTTTTAAAGGTGTGAATACTCGTGAATATCTGTGGTCTTCTCGTTCAAAAGGCTTTTTTATCGTGGAAAGTTCAGTGAACCTGCCAGGGAAAAATTGGAGTCTGTTTACTGGGTAAGAGTCTTATGTTTTTTTATTCGTCGTTAAACTTCAGAATTTCACGCTTTTTCGCTTTTTTGAATGGTTGCCGCTCACCCAGTCTATTGAAAATATGTTCGATGAGTTGTCTCGGCTGAACACCTATTTTGTTTGGTGCAAGTTGTTCTTAGATTGACTGAGGAACTAGCCAAGGATGCCTTTCCAAAAAAATATGCTGAGTCGATTTAATGTTAGCAAGTTCATGAAGGAAAAGAAGGAGATTCGAGAGAAACAAGCAGCAACCCATGAGTCCATAGCAGAGGAAAAGCTTAAGCTTTCGGCGGCTCAAGCCAAACTGAGGCGGCTCAAAGGAAAAGTAAGTTTTACTTCTAGCTTGCTTGCAAATTCTCTGTTTTACCAATTTAACCCCAATATCCACCTGCACTGTACAAATTCTCCAAACTGATCTCCATACATTTCCTCAAAGAATTAGCTGAGAGAAATTAATATAAAAAGTCAAACCATTGTCCCTTTGGTGATTATTAAACATTATCACAACCTATTCTCTTGATTATGTATTGATATTGTTAAGAGAAAACTGATGTTGGTCACTCACAAGACTTGTAGTGGCCTGGTCTCCAAGTGACCATGAAACGTATGAAAATGAATTTGCACACCCTTTTAGTACAGTCGGCTCATTGTCATACTACCTTTCAGAGACAACAAATTGATCAGGATCAATTCCCAGCTGTATAGGGTCTAGCAGCATAAGAAACTGCTCCATAATATCATGTACTATTGTATACTGCAGGCATGTATTGTCTCTGCTTTTGTAAGTTATTTAATATGTGAAATGGCATGATTTTGCTGCATGTGCCTCTTCAGTACTCTGAAAGCAACAATACATGTAGGTTTCAGTTGAAGTCTTACGTGTCATACAACTACAAGGTACACACTTCTGTGGTGCATTACTTTGCAACTTTAGCTGGAGAGGGTTGCAGGGTTGTGGAAATAGGACAGCACACTGTGCATATCACTCTCTACTCTGAATTACACATACGCTGCTTTGCTTAGCAGTACTTTTCAATGGCATTAAAATAAAATTGGGGTTACTGTTCTAACTCGGCTATCTTCTTTAAAACGTTTCTTTCTGTCGTTGCCCTGGGTTAAAGTTGAATTTTTTTTAAACAGATTGTTGATGCTAATAATGAGGTTGCAGTACTTCAGGAAGGACTTCAAGATAAAGGGAAAAGCAGCTGTGAAAAGGAAAATTTCCTCTCTTCAGTTTCAAGATCTCGGAGAAGAAAGCAACCTACCTCTGATGAGCTGTCAATGAGGGCAAAGTGAAGAAGAGTGTTGGAGACGTATAATGCTGCCACCGAAATCCATGGCGGCACAAAGGAGAGTAACGAGGCAGCTGCAACTGGACTTGTAGAAACCTTGGACACCAAGTTTTCCAAGAATCTTGTCAGTTCATTAGTATGTAACAAATCTAAGCTGGCCAAAAAAATTACATCTACTTTTCATAAGGCTAAGTGCCAGGTGTATGAAAATAGTGATGAGAACATACTTAGAAGCCTGTCAGTTTATTATAGCATGGGTGTCATGGGCAAAAGGAAGTACATGAAAGTGCGCCATTCCTTTTCATTTAAAAAGATACTATCCAAGGGGAAAAAATTTTCTTGCTTAAAAGTAGCGAACTGCCGTGTTCCTGCTCTTTTGCCATACTACAAACTAGTTCAATTTCTTGATAGTGTGAATATTGGCACTCTGCATTCTGTTAGAGAAGAGCTGTGTTTTGATCTCAATGATGCAGATAAAGTTAATGGGTACTTTCGGAATTTAAAAGAATTTATGCCACGGTTAGCTGAATTTTATTTGAAATTGTACCCCAACAATGAATTTGACTGGTTTGGAAAGCCCTTCACTTTCAAGGTAGCCATTGGCGGCGATGGCGCACCTTTTGGGAAATACGATCAGGCTAGTTCATGGCTTGTCAGCTTTTTGACTGTTGGAAAATGTTGCCTGAGCAGTGATGACAATTTTTTAATATTTGGGGCAAACTGCTCTGAAAGCTGCATTGCAGTGGAAAGGTATGTCACCAGACTTGTCAGTGATATAGCTTATCTGGAGGATAATGTTTTCCCTATAAATGGCTATGTAGTTAAGTTTGAATTTTCGGAAATTCCTAATGACATGAAGATGCTGTGTTTCTTAGGAGGAGAATTGAGTAACATTGCCAAATATTTCTCATCATTTGGGAATGTAACCTATGATGATATGGCCAATTTGCAATTCACCTTTGGTCGAGCTGATACAAACCAGTGGAAACCATGGGACTATGGCAAACGTGTAAAAGTGGTCAAACAAGTTGAAGAGTTGGAAAGCAAACTGGCAAAGACTACCCTTAGTGCCAGTACTAAACGGGGTAAGATAACCTCACTTATTGCAGAAAAACAATCAAGGCAAGAATTTGCTCCAAGAATTGGCAAGCTGATTGAAAAAGCACACGTTGAACCCCTGCACTTAAAAAATAATGCATGTGCCCTTCTTTTCTCCCTAATCCTTGAATTTTCAATTGAAATATCCAAATTACCACAGAATGTAAATGAGTTTCAGAAAGTGAGTACACACTCTCCTTTTTTCAGGCTTATGACTAGCCTGAAAACTGAGGTAAGTCTTTCACGCTTAGCAAAAAAGGTGGTCAGGTGGTTTGATGAGGGAAAGGGAAATCCTAAGGCATTTTCGTACCGCTTTACAGGGGAGGAATCACGTAGATTTCTGCACAATTTTATGTTCCTGATTAAGGCAATGAAGGGTGAAAGAGACCCACAACCTGTTGAGTTTAAACTGCATGTCTTTGCCTTCACATGCCTTTCACTACAGATGCTGTCTCACTTTTTTGTAGACTGCAAATTGAGAAAAAACAGCTTGATGATCTTGAGAAAGCATGCCAGAATTTCTTTATTTCCTGTGCATTATTTCTCCAAGTCAACCCCTCAGTATGGACCCTTGGGCATGTTGTCCCTGTTCACACCAGGGAGATGTTTGAAATGTATGGGAAGGGGTTGGCCCTTAACTCCATGGAGGGTAGGGAAGCAAAACATCAAGCAATTTCCCGGTATGCCCAGAACTCAAACTTCTTGAATCGCTGGAAACAAGTTTTCCGTCATGAGTTTATTTCCCTTATACCCTGGACTAGCCGCTTACTTTGACCACTCAGCCGTCTATTTCAAAACTTTCTGACAACCCTGAATTTCTGACTAAAGTTTTATTCCCACTCAATCAAACCCCATTGTTTTTTTAAACTTGTACCTAGTGTTTTGCTTATTTCAAACATGGCCAATTGCTTGACAATGTATCTGCAACACGAGGTATCTGGATTTTGTTTGCCCACCAAACAAGGTGTTCCACACATTTTATTGACAACATATTCTACAAACAAGAGAGGAAAATTTATCCTTTTTTGGAACCCAACAACTGTTTTTGTGAATTTGAACAAAATACATGTATATGTTTTGACTGTTTTCATTCCGTTTAGTAATACATAATACACCGTACTCACAAATGGCGGACACGCGGGAAAAAACTGGTGCCTAGTCATGAAAGCGAGGCGTTGGAGGATAAACAAAAATTGCAAATGAAGACTTTCAGTGAACTTGCAGAGTGTTTAGCACGGATTCCACCTAAAATAACTTTGTACGGACTTCTTTTTAAAAACAATTACGTGAGATGTCTTCTGCTTTTAATGTTTAGTATTGACTTGCTGTTTGCAATCAAAAGGGACGCGTATATCTTCAAGGAAACAGGATGATTTTGTAGGTTTCCGAAGCATCAGAAGCTCGACAAGTGGGCGATGACTGGAGAAAAGCGGCAAACATGTTGGCCCAAACTTCACATTGAGACCGAGTACGAAAGCCAGCTCACTGCAATTCGGTGAAACAGAAAAATATAAACAATTCAAATCTTGGTGGCAAGAAAGAAAGAAATAAGCGATGGATATATGGCCTACTCGTTAACGCAAGAGACGTCTGCCATTGAACAAAACAGGTCAAGTCGAGATGGAAAAAAGGAAGACAGGAAAGAAGGGGTGACTGAGGTTTCGATGAAGTTATGTTTGTGTTTTTTTGGCCAGGACGTTATTCTCTGGTCTTTATCGATGAAGGACATCAATTAGAACTATTTTTTTAAATAGT